AGGTTAAGAGTTATACTCGCAGTGAAACACTCTAAAGTGCAGGCAAAATTCCTTTAACTTCCTTTTTAACGAATTTTCTATTATACTTTGCTCAAATTACGCTGTCGAGCCGTGAATGCTCCTATATGTTTTTACTCTTGAGGGTATCGATCTCTAATAGAATTTTCGTTTTCAGCGTACCCTCTAGATGGACAACGTCGAAATGAATGCGGATGAGTCATCGTAAGTCATATACATAGTTGTAACTTTCTAGACTTGTGCCCAAAGTCCGAGCACGCTTGCCAACACTTCCGGTGAAGCTGCTAAAACGGAGGAAGCAAGTCAATAAAGATGTCATTAAACAACAGCGAAAACGTTCCACGGACATTCGCAAACGCGCTCAAACGCAGAAACAGTTGTTTCATCGGCCGGCATATTTTATTTCCGTAAGTCCTTTATTCAAAATTGTCCAACCTTTTCCAGAAAGCACGCAAGTCAGCTAGAGATGAATCCAGACTTGTCCGATCCACGAAGAAAAAACCGCCCGTCGATGTGCCCAATCGGGAACGGTTAGGCATAGTCATACGCATATTCGGCGACACGGGCCTCGCTCCGGAGTCCTCTCAGATACTCAGTTTACTGAGGTTATCTTCAAAAAACCACGCAGTCTTCGTGAAAATATCTCAGGTTTTTTTTCTATCTGTCTTGATTCACTTCGTCACCAGGCCATGTTAGAGTTGCTTGCCACTGTGCAGCCATACATAATCTGGGGTTACGCAGACTTGGCCACAACCAGAAACCTCATCTTCAAGCGCGGAAAAGCCAAAATCGGTGGCAAAGTAAAGTCACTTACTAATCCACTCGTCGAAGAGAAGTTGGGTAGGTTTCCGCAGCCGTATTTTTTAACATTAATTTTTCTAGGTCAGTTCGGATTGATATGTATCGAGGATATTATACATGAACTAACTTCACTCGGGCCCCACCTCCGCGATGTCCTTGGCTTTCTAGCTCCGTTCAAAGTAAGGCCGCCTACAGGTGATTGGATAAGTGTCGTAAAAAAGACGCACCATTCCTCCAACCAGCGTTCTGGAAATCGGAGCGAGTTTATAAGCCAACTAGTCAACAAGATGGTTTGATTGCATATGTACTCTGTTTTTAAAAAAAGCTGTGGGCTTTACACACTTCGTTCTCAAGTGGATGGTCTTTGGTCTATGACCACGTACAGCAGAAGAAACACACATTCGCCTTTGAAAAAGCAAAGGTAATAGACCGAGCCACCGACAAGATGGCCAGATTGCTGCTAGAAAGTTGGTCCTTGACTGGCACACTA